TTAATGTACTGTAGGTACCTTGAGGCCAGTGCCTGCAGTCAGAACAACGAATGAAATGTAGAGCGGCTAAGATGGCATTGTTGAAAGTCCTCGTAACAGGCAACCTCAGAGAGCATAGAAAGCGTGGTGTTACTTTAAATCCTGCAATAACATGCAGAGGATTGTCCCAGCACAACCATCTTCTCTTCTATGTAATAAAACAAAAATGATTTGTCGGTCCCGGCAGATCAAATTATATTCACTTGAGACCAGAATCAACAGAACTTACAGGAGCATACACATCCTGCACCTAGCAGACTTACAACTACAAAGCTTATTTCCATCAGCTGAAGAACATGAGGTTCAGCACTGGGGTGGGGGGCAGGGGGGGGGGTCTTTCAAAAGTAACATGCCAACACACAAGTACTGAGTCTGCTTGAGCTGCTATCAGTGGAATGTGTAGTTAATCTGACAGAATCACATGCTTCATTATGTAGATTAGCATTCGTTACAACTAAAAATAATGCAAAGGTCAGAGCAGCCAACACTTTTACTCGTGTCACTGCAGCCAACAATGTTTAGTCGAGACTCAGCACATGTTTAAGCTGGGTTGGCAACTTTCGAGCCACCAGCAAAAAAAATAAAGCTAACTCTCTTAAAAAGTATCTAGCCGGAAAAAATGTCAAAGCTGCTCCCCCCCCCAAACACATGAACCCAAACTGCTTCATTTTTGGAGCAGTGAAGTCCATGATAGAGTGTTGGGGTCTTACACAGGTCTGAGTGAGCCACAAAAAAAAATCTCCACTTACTTAACTCAGACAAATAACTGCTGCATAGCTTGTAGGTAAACAAGAAAGAAAGTTCTGCTTGAATCAATGATTCACAGCATGCATATTTCTCTTTTTCCACATTAAAAGGTGTGGACAACAGCGTAATGTGGTTTACATTTTTCAAACTTCACAAATAGAGCTAAGCAGGTAAAGTCTGCACCAAGTGATTCTGGGTGGATTCAGCCAATTTGCCATGTAAGCCACAGTTACTCAACAATAACATCCAAATATCGTTTAGATTAATTGACACAAAGGCAATGACATCAGAGAGAAATCTGTCTGTTTTCACTATTATCCAGTAACTGGTATAAACCAGAGAATTAAACCTGCCTGCAGAGTCTAGTATTTTTAATTTGCATCTCTTTTAGGGACAGTGCGGTGAAGTGGAGTGGACCAGTCTGGGTTTATTTATACAGCTCTGTGAGTATCTGTGTGGAGGTTAGCTCAAGTGCAGAGAGGCTCCGCTGCTGGCTTCGTTTGAGGGCCTTAACCCAGGTCTCAAGGGATGAGCGGAGCATTTTAGTCAGTGTGTGTATGCACATGGATGCATGTGGAAGCATTTTTCTTGGCATCCCTATCCATGCGTGTGTGTGTGTGCTAGTGTAAGTGTGTACCAGGCCAGGATCAGTGGAGTAAATCCACACTTGAAAGAGTAGCTCAATCAAGCTCTCCCACCCATCTCTCCCTCTGTCTCTCTCATCTCGCCGACGTTTCCCCTGCTCCCAGTTCATGGAGAGTTGAGGAGTTCATAGAAATAGGGAGCAAAAGAGCGCAACGGAGGGCAAAGAGGAACAAATGCAAACCTTTAGAGCAACCTTAGAGTACTACATTCCAACTGTCGATCAGTGTTTGGATTTAGACACACAAAGATGTATCTTCAACTCACAAACAGAGTCTAATATCAATCATGCTTTGTTGGTCTCAGTGTTTAGAGAGTCCGGTGTTGGAGTACACATTGTTATTGCTAAAGGTTAAGTATTAGTGTTAGTGGTCTTTTTTATTTTTTTATTTTCTATTAAAGATTTATTTTTGGGCTTCTCATGCTTTTATTGTAGAGATAGGACAGTGGAATTGAGTCAGAAATCAGGGAAAGAGAGAGAGCGGGGAATGACGTGCGAGAAAGGAGCCACAGGTCGGACTCTAACCTGGGCCGCCCGCCCGCCCGCCTGGACGACCACAACCTCCATACATGGGGCGTGCGCACTAACCACTGCACAACCAGCACCCCAGTGATTTTTTTTTTTTTTAGAAAATCTTCAAATAATTCAATCTTTTCATGAAATAAAAATGATATCTGCAAAACAATATTCTGCATAATCTTCTCCTCACGTACATAAACACTATGAGGCAGTCTGTTACATCACTGTGTGTTCACCATAACTGGTTAAGTATATAAGTATAAGTGTTTCTTTGACACGCATCCCGGCTCCTAATCCACAGTGAGGCAGTTATGAACTCATCAAAAACAAAACGTTCATTATCCAGCCTTCATCTTTGATTTAACAGCAGGTTAGCAGACAAAAACAACCTTTTAGTTTCCACTCTATCCTCCTCCTTTTTGTTTTAGTATCAGTCCTGAACCTGGTAGTCCTCAATGACAGGGTAAAGCCTGTTCCTTGAAAGAGAATGAAAAGCATGACCTCGTTTGGTTTCCTGTGCGATTTAATAAAAGAGATTTTACGCTGCCAGTGTGGAAAAGATGCCTTTCATTAGAACATCGCATACCCAGCGTATACACACTAATCCAATTGAGTTTAGCATGATAAAGGGCATTTACTGCCGGCCTGCCCTTCTGCCCACCCACTAATGACACATGTGTGCATGCACCAGCACTCAATGACATAAAGAAAATATAGTACTTTAAGAGCTCTCAGGTGGATAATGCACCAAGCCAACATTCAGGAGGAGAGCTTTTTTGCGACATGTTCTGTCAAAAAAACGACCTCAGCATTCTATTGACATTTAAATTTGTCATCCTCGAGGCCAGTGTCAGGCCATTGAGGTAAAGTGCATTAAGAGTTGGGCCCCTAATGGAAGCAGAATGACAGGGCAGGAGGAATTCATGAAGCTAAATATATCTTTTTAAATTGACAATAAGCTTGGGATGAATGCGATTTAGTATTTGGAAAACAAACTGAGGAGATAAAATACGTTAGAATATTCTATTTCCTGAAAAACAACACTTTGTCGTTTCCACAATCAAAGCATTTACATACAGACAAGCACAAAACGTCTATCTAATGGAGGGATCTTTTCATTACGTCTAAATGAACAAAGATGCCTTGCTTGAAGGAAGAAATGCCCTCTGGTGTACTGCAATGGGTCATTAATTAGCTCTATAAAACTCTTACTTGAATTAAGGGAAGAGATAAACTTTTTATGAGCGGGATTTCATTAGTGTCTCAGAAGTGCTTTTCTTCTGTTTGTGTCACAAAAGGAGCGTCTCCTTAACCTCCTGAATGGTTCAGGTACTGAACAGCCAGAAACATCTTTTAAGCTCTTGTCAGGCTGCAAAATGCGTCAAGATTTCTCAAGATGTGCGGAAGCTATTTTTGCGGCACTCCATTCAGATGAGAGCTGGATGCCGAGAGCTGTCATTGACTTAAAAAGGTTTTTTTTTTTGTTGCTGTGTGTCTGCACGTGTGTGTTAACAGTGACTCATTCTGCATCACTCCTCTAAACACTGGCGCTTCCAGAGAATGCTCCTGTTTGTGTGTGTGTGTCTGAGTGCATGTTTAAGTGTGTCAACATCCACTGTGTGTACATTCAGGCTGCTGGAGATCTGAAACAGTCAGAAAACAAAACAAGTGCCCTGAAGAAGTGACAGGCAGGCCGCATAAAGGAGAGACGTTTTTTTTTTGTCAACAAGAGGACATGAATTGAAAAGCTTCCACATTGTCAGGCTGGGCTGAGGCCCGGCTCAGACTGACGGGGGAGGACAGATCATTTTAGACAGGAGAGCGTGACACGATGGCACCTCTAGTGTCAGAGCTGATGACGAGAGAGGCGTGCTTCAGACGAGCTGAACAGAAAAATCATTTTAGACTTAGATGTGATACTTGTAACACTATTGACGCCTGTTTCATCCCCACCTCAACATAACATACAAGTCCTTAGCAGTAAGTATTGCTTGCTGTTGTTCTTCTGCATTAACACATTTGCAAGGAAACTCTAAACAACACAAATACAGTGCCAAATTTTCCAGCACTGCAACATTGTCCATCATGTTTGTACGATTTAGACAGTTCTCTCTTGATGCAGCTTTGGAATAAATGTGACTGAAGATCTGTCATTTTGTAAAACTTTTTTTTATTTTTTATTAAATACTCTTATTTTTATTAAATACTCTCTGATCAACGTGGTGATAGTATCATTTAAAACACGTGATATCAAAAAGTACCAAAGCAATAAACATTTTGACAACCTAAGTACGTATAGATAGAAGTCTTTCTCCTCTCATTCAGTCTTACTAAAAAGCATCCTAACACCATGACTGAATATTTGTATTGCAGCTATGGGACCAACATCATCCGAGGACTAACATCAGCCGTAGTGCATCAATTTTCCCTAAACTTAAAACAACAGCAGATATAATTCTGCATTAATGGGATGAGTAAACACCATTACTATCAAGCTATACTGAATCTCTTGTTTAGCCTGTATGCCTTGCATTAAGTTGGTCCCATTTCCCAAAGCACCCTGTGTGTTGCCACCTGATGATAAACCGTGGCCTTCAGCTGCCGTGTCCACCTGGTCACCACAGTGAATAAACAGCGAAAAAAGATTGCACATTGTTTGCCAGACTACCTGCAGACATGACCAGCGGCTCAGTGTGTGAGGAAGTTCAGGCGCTGCTAGCTATGTTTTTTTTCCACTCTGCTGGGGGGCCCCAGCCAACCTGTTCCCCCGGTCTATATATGTGGAAGTAAACAGGATGCTAACAGTGGGACAGAGGTGACGTACCATATGTAGCCCCATCATCCTGTTGTGTGGACTGAGACTGTTGAGCACTACTAAATCAGAGCTAAATAAAACCGCCTCATTTGTGTCAACTTCCTTTTGAAGCTCCAATCACTGTGGAACGCATTAAACAGCCGGTCAAGCCACAGGCTGCCCCCACTGTGTGTGTGTGTGTGTGTGTGTGTGTGTGTGAGACAGGTGTACATGAGCTCATGTGTTGTATGTACTCACAGCGGGTACGAGGAGCTTCTTGACCTCCTCCACTGCTCTCCTCATCTTGATCTCCGCTCTGGCCTGCGAGTCCTCCACTGTGATCAGGACATGAAGGTCCTCGTTTAGGTGTTCCCAGTTTGGCTTCCCTCTGTTCTGCTCCTCCTGGACAGAAGAAAAAAAAAAAGAAAAAAAAGAGAGAGGGAGAGACGGTGAGTGAATGTGACAGAGTGGGTGTGTTTTGAGCACCGGTGCAGCAACACGGCGTATCAGAGGAAGCCGAGGCGAGAGAGACGAGCATACACAAGAGGACGACGGAGGCCTCTGTGAAGAGAAGCGAGATGACAGGAGCGGCCCCTTTAGTCAGCTATTTAGCTTTAACTTTGAAAGGACACCCTTCTTTAATAGATCCCTCGCTTTCACAGAGACAAAGACGACAGCTAGCCCTGCAGCAATTAATATCACTGAAAGATGGATGGGTGGAGGGATCAGAGAGAGATGGATGAGGATTTTTAGCTGGTAGGAATGGAATCATGATACATGGATGTATGTGTGTGTGAAGGTGTACAAGCGTGTGCCTCTGTATCCGACCGTCGTTTGCTTGGACAATGCGGTCGGGGTAACAATAGTTCTCTAAAGGAAGCCGTTTTCCCCTCCTGTAAAGGCAGTGCCAAAGCACTCAGTGGGTGCTAAATTGAAGCACTAGCAGTACCTGAAAAGCAAAAATGGGCTGTATTCAAAACCATAATCACCGCTTGATATTATTTCAACACAATCAAAGAGGAAGCAGTTTCAAGTTTTGAATTGTGGAGGGCTGGGTTTGGATATTTTGTAGTTGTTGTACATTTCTCAGGAGCTTTTTTAAAAAGCCCAATAACACTCGACTCTTTGTGAAAAGGTAACGTGGGAAATGTAAGGACAACGATAAGGTAGCCTCATACATCTTTTGAAACGTGCCATTCAATTTAGCATACTTTCCTCCCTCTTCTGGTCGCCCCTACTGACAGTAAAAACACAACAAGCAGACACTGAGAGCGCTCTAAAAGGCTTTCGGGGTTGTATCACATGTCACTGTATAACCACGAGAGCCAGCGGTTTGAAGGCTGACTACTTCTCCCCGAGGTGAGGAGCTCGAGGTTGTCAGAAAAAGAAAAACCTCAGATTCTCTTATGTGTGTCACACAGAAAAAAAGGATGATGAAGTTATGGTGGTTACATCTGATTTGATGATGATGAAACAGAAATGTCAAAAGTGATACAATAATAGACTGATTTTGTGTTTTGTTGATCAAAAGGACATCAGTGTGTCAGATAGTCCGCTTCATCTCAGATCTCTGCCCTCCTGCTGCTGGTGCGGGTTTGAACAGCTTGCTCATGATCAACGTGTCATTTAACCCCGCCCACACTTCACCACCTCAACTTCAGATCAGTGCTCATTTGGAAGTAGTGATCGACTGTGATTGTGCCTTGATTACAAACAAGGCGTTGCAGTGCTCTGCAGGGGTTCCACCTGACACGGTTTCAAAAGAATCGACAAGCTCGCGCACACACACACACACACGCACGCACACACGCACACACCACACCAAGAGCTTGAGCTGAGTGCCACCCACCTCCTTTCTACTCCACAGAGACCTGTTGCCATGGCACTGCTCTTTATAACACACACACACACACTCAGGAAAAAAGTTCAATATTCCACTCTCGTTTTCCCCTTTTCCACACAGGGGGGAGGGCCTAGTTTCAGCAGTCAGGCCATTATTCCACCATGGCTGTTTGCTCATGGCCTATTAGGGGACATGGGGACTGGAAGGTGACTCAGCATTTTTTTTTAAAAGGGGACACAGGCCCAGCTGCTGCATGCAGGGCGCTACATAAAAGCACATGGTGGACATAAAAGCTGTGATATTGACAGATTGATCTCACATGTTTGGTGTGCGCATGCCGACACTCAGGCATATTCTGGTTTGGTTTGGATTGTGTCAAAGAGGGAAAAAGCGCACATGCCCCCTCACCAGCATGACTGCCTGTGAACAAGGTCACTGTGCCCCCTCTGAGAGAAAGTGACAGCATGACAAACACGAGGACCGGTGGAGGGGGGGAAGGCATAGTGAGGAGGGTGAGAATGGAGAGGGGGCGCTCAAGGGGAATACTGGGAAGGCCTCCGACAGGAATGACCGCTTGCCGACATCAAATGCCGTGGCAATAAGCACATAGCAGAGGGGTAATCGCTTTTGGAAAAACTATGTGGCTTGAATAAATAGCGCGGCCCCTGCATGTAGAAACAACATCTAAGAATAGGATGAGAGGGGAAAGACTGCGCATCGCTTGTGTTGCCTGACGTCCGTCGCCTGTCTGTGCAGCACCTGTCTTCCTGCCGGCTTTCACGCCCCTCAGCTTGAGCTCAGGAAACTTCCAAGGCTTCATTCTCCACATGGGTGACACCACATGCGAAAAGGTTACAAAAATAGAAGACTGTCTTTCTCTTCTGAGAAGTCGTCTTAAAAATAAAAAAGACAGTTGCAGGTCAGACGGGCTGTAACTTTAATGATCCTGTCAATGCCATCATTTTCCCTGAACCTAAAGCTGAAAGCCCTTTATTAGACGCTCAAGGACACTTAATAGGGCGCACATTTACAGACGCTTAGCTTTCATCCTTGCACCCTTCCTTGACTGACCTTCAGTCAGAGTTTACGTACCACACCCTCCCTGGACTGGATTTCGGACTATGTGGTGCCACAATTTTGTCCTAGCAATGTTGCACTTCACACTCATGAGCAAAGTCTTGACCCTGTTTTAACTCTGCCTCTCCTGCTTTGAACAGTCCCCTCTGCTTTGATTCCAAAGGCCGTACCCTGCTGGGGTCAAGGCTTAATGCCAGCAGGCTAAACAGGTGCAGGAGGGAGCTGCAGGGAGCACAGAAGGACAACAGAGGGCTGTATGTAAGGACATGATATAGACACTTGTATATACAAGATATGCTCTGTTCTGTATTCTGAATTTGCTGATAATGCAATTTAAGCTGACACATGTCATGTAGGCACTATGGGTAAAGTAAAAAACAAACAAAACAAAAAAAAAGACACAGGAGATGTATCCGTCACCCAGGCTTTTCTACATGTCCATTTCTTTAAGGACACTTAATGCAGCTCAAACTAAAACCTGCCAACACAACACATAGGCCAGTTCTGTAGCTTCATCCCTTTCAACCAGCAAATATGACCGCCAATACAATACAGGAAAAGATAAAAGCACATCCTAGATTATTGTACATATCTACTATGTCTATATCTACTATGCACAGAGATATACAAGACTTCAACTTCAAAGCAAATTACAAAAGCAGCTACCACGGTAAGAAGATGCTCATTAGTCGAAGATATAAAGTCTATATAAAGAAAAAAAAGAATCCTCTATTACGTTGTCTGGTCATGACTGGAGAAGCTAAGGCTAGTTTAATCAGGATCAGGATATTCATATTCAGAGAATTTAAAAAGGGATTAGGAGTTTTAAAAAAAGGATATAACTAATTATCAGCATTGTATTTGGTCTGTTTAGCCAAGAGTGAGGTCCCACATTTATTTCTCCATCTTATTATTTTGTACTTGATCTGCTTTTCTTCTTCTCCCCATTCTTCTTTATTTTACTCCCCTTGCCCCTCTCTTTCTATCTTCCCCCTCCCCTCCCCTCGCTCAACCCTTCTCCCACTGCAGAGCTCCAGTGAGCCGACTCCCCGCCAGGCAGTGCGGCCCAGGAGGGAGCAACCAGCTGAATTATTGAGAGCATAAAAATGCTGCCGCTAATGGATCCTGAATAAACACACTGGCTAAGCTGCTCTCGCGGCTTCCTCTGCTGCCACAGGGCATCAAGCTGAAAATACTGAGGTTGAGGATGCAGCGACTGGAGGCCACAGCTGAGGCTTTGTCTGAGGGCTGAACCAAAGCTACGGCACAAACGGGCACAAATATGGGATTCTTCAGTGCAGAGAGCTAAACTGATGATGAGTATAGAGCCCGATCGATTAATCAGCCAGCCGATAATATCAAATATTAACAAATCCAGTGACTATCAGTATCTGCTAATTTCATCGCAGATATGCGCCGATATTACGAGATTTATTCACCAGTCAAATATAATTTAAATTGAGTGTCATTGTATTACACTAGCAGTTCTCTTTCACCAGCAGAGGGCGCTAAACGTATCACAACAATATTTTTTAACTCCAGAGTGATGAAAATTACTTTCCAGTTGAGTGACCATATCGTCTTCTTTATATATCTTTTCCACAAGTGTTTGAAAACTGCATTTGAGGGATCAACACGATAAATGTATATCTATCTCTACAGATCGAACACAGATCTAAGATAAGAACGATATCGGACGAAATATCGTTATCGGACTACCCAATATCGACATCAAAAATCTGATATCGGTCGGGCACAAGTGTTGTGATGATTGGTGGTGGAGGCAACAAAAGATGTGACCAAGCAGATCTTTTTATTTTTTTTTTAACTCACATTACTGTAGATATCTAAAGCAGGCAGCATGTCTAATGTAAAGTTAGTTAGCGAGCAGTTTGTGATGTTGAAGAACTATTACGAAAATGGCGCTTTGTAGAGGCGGGGTTATAAAACAGATGTGTCAATAAAACCAGGCGTGCCGCCTTTAAATGTTACAGTTTACATCCAGCCTCTTGTAAAATTACATATCAAGAGGATACAAGATTTTATATGATACAATTTAAATATTGGGTTCTTCACTTCATCACGTATCACAACACTGAGTACAGATCCTGCTCATCTTTCTTTACATTTAAACGTTTTACTCGACGGGTCGTTTACAGTGCAGTAATTGCACGGGGCCTCTGACAGGTTCTGTCCAAACAAAGTGGCACACATCATTAAGTTTTCACTTGGCACCGAGATGATGGGGGTTATCTCAGATTCATGTAATGAGCTAAACGAACTTTGCAAGTGTATGTGAGGGTTTGTACATGCTCGAGCGTGTTCGCTCCCATCTTAACTACTTCTGGATCTAATTCCAAAGAAAGAAGCCGAGCAGAGTGTCTTCATCTTGTTCTGTGATAATGAACACACTCCATGGGAAATAAGAGACGCAGACAGGAATTAAAATACGAGTGGAGTAGCCGTGAAAAAAAAAGAGAAAAGAAAAGAGGAAAGAAAAACGTTTGGCCCTGCAGCAAACTAGAGCTTCTTAGATTATGACTCAGCTGAAAAATCTGTGTACATCTCTGTGTGTGAAGCCTGTTTCTGTTAGTGTGTGTGGTGGACTTTGTGTGCATGAGTATGTGTGTGTGTGTGTGTACGGAAGGTGATTCCCATGAAATACCCTTCTTCTCACTTATGTAAATGTGTTGCAATATGGCACACTGTCTGGCAAGTCAGAGCAACAGGGACGTTTAAACAAAAAAGAAAAAGGGAAGACATTCACAATAAAAGACGCGACTCCAAAAAAGGTGTAATTCAAGTGAGAAAAAGAAACGCACATTAAAACGTATAAATAAATAGAAAAAAACAGTCACGGCTGAAGCCCATGGGCAAAACATGCACAGATGCTTGAAATATCACAATTTTCCAAACTGTCATTTTGTCCTCACAGTAACTTCAAAGTGCATCACTAAATCTGATCTGACACACATTGCAATCCCTCAGGGATGAGTGTAAGTTGCTGTAGCATTGAAAGCTTCGATTTTCATTGTTTAATCATCTGCTCTGGCTGGCTGGTGTGAGGCTTCTATAGTCATATGTAGGCAGCTGAAATATGATATGAGTCAGATTTGTAGGCTTAAAAGACGTACTATTACAAGGCTGACCTGAAAGCACTGCAGTACAGGGGGAACTGAACATAGTGGGACTTGAATCAAATATGTAGGTTTTTATTAAATGTCGAGATGTGCAACATAAACAAACACAATTTGAAGGTAAATGCCACAAAAAAGTTCTTCTAACTGCAGATATATAAACACCCAACATACGCCTTTTATGTCTCCAAACTCAGCTCTGCTGCTCCAGAAATAGAGGCTGCCACTGGCATCATCTGCCTTCTTCACTACTGCCCCCTGTACTTTCCACCGCACAGCACAGCGTTTTGCAAACAGCCCTATCAGATGTCAGAATGCACCCACGAGGCATCAGCCAGAGTCTGTGTGTGTGTGCGTGTGCGTGTGCGTGCCTCGTGTTGCTGCAGGGGCTGCTGGGATGTTTACGTGTGACAGCGGACCCTGCTTGTCCCTTATTTTCTGAGCAATGTCTAAAGACGGAGGATAACATCTTGGAGGATGGAGAGAGAGAATGGCTCCAAATGTTATTTTTTCTTTATTTCCGGATGTTGAATCTAATATAATGAGTTACATCGTCATCAGGGATCAAAGTCGTTAAACACACTGGGCTCATTGCCACGCTGATGAGCTTACCTTCTTCTTGTCTCTCATGGAGCTTTTGCCTCGCACCATGATTTTGCATCCCGTCTCTGCTTCCAACTGTTTGGCTGTGAGTCCCCGAGGGCCAAGGATTCTCCCCACAAAGTTATACTGCAGAAACAGAAAGAGAGAGAGAGACATAAATCAGTTAATCTACGGGTGAGCAGACATTCAAATCTCCCTCATAATACAGTGTCAGTAAATAGAATCAGAACACCATGGTGGATGCAGGTTGAAGAGGCTTAAGCCGTTCCCACTAGATGTCAAAATAGTCCCAAATAGAAAATAAAAATTAACTACAGGGAATCAGACGAGGTGTAAATGGTGGGGAGCAAACAAAGAGGAATATTGAGGGAGAAGATGTTGGAGGGGGAGGTGAGATGAGACGTGAGGTGAGTGCACTTGACACAGTTTTCTTATCAAGGCCCCTCTTCTTTTCTTTTTTTCCACTGGTGTGTGTGGCTTTGGAGCTTTGTACCAAAAGGAAACGTATTTAGCGACGTAATCCTCTCCACTTGAAACTGGCTTCCAACGGGATAAAGGGAAAATGTGTTGAAATAATCCAACACAATTTTCTGCCAAAATAAAAACAGAAGGGAAGGAGGAGAGAAAAGGGGAGGGGGGGGCAAAGTGATGCATAAAGAGGTAAACAAACCATCCGTGTTTAGACTGTGCACACAGCGGCTGGTGGAGGAGAGCATGATGGGTAAAAAGATCTCTGACACTATTAAAATGGGATTTCTTTTCTTTTTTTTTTAACTCAAGCTAAATTTTCCACACCTGAAATGTTGAAATGCTCGCTAAACACAAGGGAGAGCTTTTCCTTGATGATGAGAAGAAGCACAACTGTTCGTCTCTTTAACTGCTACAACGAGCTGTGACACGGCCGCATTAAAATCTTAAAACGCAGTCACATCTGCTTACGCACCCCGCCGCACCCATTCCTCAGCGAAATCCAAAAAAGGCCATCACAGAAAGTCACATTTAATCACTCGGGCGTTGCAAATATAACGTGATGTTGGTGTTGTTCCCCCTAAACTACAGGAACAAACACAAGCGAGAACAGACTAAACCTGAAGGCTGTTTTCTTTTTTATTTTGTCCCCGTCACTGGGCTCGCCTGCAACTGTCGCCCTGTCTGTCTGTGTGGCAGGAGGGACGCTCCCCGAGATGCTGAAGTCCCTGCAGACGATCGTAGCATGCAGCTACGCGGGCTTTATGCTTGTGTAGCTCTGTCACAAGGCAACTGTCGGTTCGGTTAACTCGAATCAAGGAAACTGGCGCAGGGGCTATTTGTGATAGTGTGCGCGCCTGCTGAGGGGATGCAGAGGCACCTGTCGTCCGAGGTCAGCCACCAACCATGCACGGTCGCCTGCTTCTGACTCGCACACACACACACACACACACACACACACACACACACACACACACACACACACACACACACACACACACACACACACACACACACACACACACACACCACACACACACACACACACACACACACACACACACACACACACCACACACAACACACACACACACACACACACACACACACACACACACACACACACACACACACACACACACACACACACACACACACACACACACACACACACACACATAAACTCACAGCCTCAAGGAGCACAGGAGAGAGCTGTCCGTCTGCATCACAGCACCCACTGCAGACAAGGGTGAACCCCGAGCTCTGGGCGTCACGGCGGTGCTCCCACACACACATAAACAGACCTCTGGCCTGTTAACCAGAAACTTCAGTGTCCTGCAATGTCCCCGGTGCTGCTTTAAAGCTAACCCTGCTAGCAACTGAATATTTTGGAACTAAAAAAAAAAAATGCTAAAGCAGTCGTTTTGCTCTCAAAAAAAAAGTCAAACCTACAAAGTTTGAAAAGTTCTCCCCTGCCAGTTTCCCACTGTGCAACTTCTTCTTTCATCAGACCGATTTGTCCTAACTCCATGAAAATATCACACACACAGAGTAAGCTTAATGTGGTGATACCAGAGAAGAAGGAAACTTGGATTTATTCTTATTATTCCAAACTAAATGTGGTTAAAAGGAGCAGATTATCCACTCTACTGTAAATCATTTTAGCCCCGCCCTCATCCGAGAGTCCAAAGTGTTACGAGAAAATGCGGATGATGATGACTTGACTTGACAGTAACCGGGTCTTGATTGAGGACAGCCGAGAGAAATAAAGAGAGAGAAGGTCAGAGAAGATGTCAGAGGGGGGAAAAAGTCACGAATGACTCGTCTTTCAAGGAGGAAGAGAGCAAGAGGGGCCGACGCTGCCAACACATTCCTTCCACACTATTTCCACACTGAAGTCCATGTGATAGGGCATTCGGGGATAAAGGGGTTAGGGCACGCCAATGCATGCTTAGAGGCTCAGGTTCAATGCCTTCTTCCCGATTTGGAGAGAGGGCTTCTGGGTAAAAGGCTCGTCAGATGTCAGACTGGAGTCAGATGAGTTTTTATGGTGACAGACAAACTCACAGCAAGTGGTTTTGGGGGAGGGGGGGGCGCGGCACAGAGCAGGCGTCGTGACTGGCCGAGTGATTACCACAAGTTTCACTCACGCACGCACACACACACACATATCTCACGAGGAAAATTGAAACCGAAAGACACATCAAAAGGCTACATTTTCTGACGAAGCGTCTCACCACAATCTGGCAAAAAGACAAGAAATAAATCCACACACTTCAAAGTGTAACCCTACTGTAAATAAAAAGCGATGCCAAAATCAGTTCAGTGATTGCATAAAGCTCAAAGTATAAAGCGTAAAGCGCAGCGGGGGGACGGCGGCTCGCAGATTCCCCGCTCTCGTGGATGTGCGATATGTTACGTTAGCAAAAGGCGACCTCCATTTTAAGCCACTGGAATGTGGAGACAATGGAGAGCCAGAGCGGGGCGAGTTATCAGAAGGGTGCAGGGGGCCGTTTGAGCCTGCCAGGAACTCCACTCAGCACAGCCATAGGAGTAGGATGGATACAGTGCCCTCTCTGCCAAATACACCATTCACTCTTCACCTCCTCTTAGGAAACTATCTCGCCTCCTCCGCACCTACTAACAAAAATTAAAAAAAGATAGTTTCTTCTCATATTTTCTGTTCCTGCTGCTAAAATCGACTTTTCAGAAGTCAAGTCTGGGAAATGCCGCTACTTTCCACATGGACGTCCTCAGCTCTGCACACTCTAGAGGCCCTTGTGTAGCTGTTACTAGTGGCGGCGGGGATTATTTTTAACAAGTGTTTCAACGACACTAAATTAACACTGTAACAGGAAGTACAAATGTGTGTAAGCTAAATGGTCATGATTACTGTCAATACTAACATTCCCCCACTGCTCCGTTATTCTGCAGGGGAGAACAACAACTTTTGAGCATGTTGAGGGTTAAACAATTGTAAATTAAAAAAAAAGCAGGAATTTCCTTCCAGCATTCTTCTGTGTCCAGTTACTTCACCCTTATTTCCTCTGCTCATTTCCATCAGTGCACGATTACAGATTCAGGACTTCGGGTGGACTAACTCTCTTCCTCACTACTCTGTTTTTTTTTTTTTTTGCCTCATTTTATCTCTGTTCTGCCAAGTTTTTCAAACAAACACAGAAAGCACATACAGTAAACACAAACACAGCTCATGTGCAAACAGAAGGACGGACAGACACACACACAAACACAAACACAAACACACACACCCCTTCAGGACAAGGGCTTACACTGACATTAAAGGGGCCTTTGTTTAGCCCCAGTTATCGCTACTCCACAGGCGGGTTATGCTGTGAGCATATCTACGTCTTTGCCAGTGTGTGTTTGTGTGGGACCAAAATGTATGGAGTGAACTCTTGTAGACACCCTCGGCACCCGGTGCTGCCTGTCACATGGGTTTGTGTGCGTGTGTATGTATGTGTGTGCATTTTGGGTTTTGTTTTTGTGGGGAACAACTGAGAAGCAAACAGCAGTTCCACCGACAACGTTCAGAGAATCAGAACAATTGAGCCTTTGATGGAGTTTGTTTGTGGTGGTTGCGGAGACAGGAAATGAGATCATGCTGAGGGCTCTGGGTGTGCGTGCAGGGCTTATGGAAGAGCAGGGCCGGGGCCACGAGGAGAATACCAATGGCTTATTAGTCGGCCTAGCTGGGGTTTATGGAAATGAACAGTTTAGTCAGTGCAAGGTGGGATCCGTGGTAGTACCAGGCACGGCCGTCTCTTGTGTTATCAATCCTTCCCCCGTGTTGTCATTCCTTACACTCAGCTCCCTTCCTTAATGTTACAACACACTGAGAAACAGATCATTCCAAACTGACTTTTCCTCATATCTAAGATTCCTCATTTCATTTGAAGTGTCTGCATTTGGAGGCTTCACTGAGGGCACCGAGTTAAACACTGCGCTACGTTGCAGAAACTCTTCTTCTTTCCACGTCTCTTCCTTTTCTGTATCCATTCATAGCGTCTGTAAACTACACAGGCTTCCATTTCCTCTTCTGTCTGAGCACACAGGATCTTGCCTTTCCTCGTCTGCATATCTGTCATGGGTCTTTCACAGCAGAAATCGACGTTTCTCTACAGCTTCACCGGGCCTCCCTCGCCACCAGCTGGCCGCCTACTTTCATCACTCATTCATCTTTCAGCTACAATGTTCCATCATTCAATTAATCCATCTTAACCAACCTTCACTTTGTGGCCTGATCCACCACAACGCTCACACATGTATGCACACAAGGCATCCGTAGCATTTCCGCAGCAGTAAACCGAGAAGCGGGGAGAGAGGGGCAGTGGAGATGTGGAGGAGAGACAGCATGCCTGATCTACAGTAAAGGACAGAGGAGGTGAAGCTGCAGAGCGTCGAACGGGGTAATATTTAGAGTTAGATTCCTTACGGTGACATTTTCGCCTCAAAGCCCTGTAGACTTCAAAGCTCTCTATTCAGCACACCCAGCGTTTAACGCCTAATCCATGACTCCTTTGATAATTCTGTTTGGGTTTATTTCGGGGTGGCAGGCAGGAGTGGAAAAGCGGCGGATGGAAGACGGAGGGATTGGGAGGCGTAAAGATTGATGTCGGCTGGAAGTTTGGAAGAGGTGA